TTGTAGGGGGATACACAGGACAAACAGGGCAGGGAGGTGGAGAGCAGCCTCCACCTTCCCTCAGGGCCTCAGAGCGTGTACCTGTTAGTCACAGGTGAAATGGTGTCTGACCACTGGCTCCCAGAAATGGGGTGAGGGGCCAGAGAAATCAGAAGGCTGGGAAACCAAGAGGAGAAGGGGATATGGAAGGGACCACAGAGCGAGGCAGGAAAGGTGGGGCAGGGGGAGTCAGGCTCACCATGGCCTCCTGGTTCTCCAAGTCCTCCAGATGTTCAGCATGGGCTGAGGCACCCCCTCCTCCTCACTGTCTAGTCTATCTCTTGTTGGGGTGGCCAGAGGGGTCCTCAAAAAACCCAACAAGGGTAGAGTGGGTCAACCTCTGCCCCCACCCTCACTGTGTAGCCCTGGGCCAGGCCCTCCTCAGGGGAGAATAAGCAGGTATTATTTTTATTTTTTGCCCTCCCCAGGGGAGAATAAACAGCTATTATTTTTATTTTTTTAAGAGCCAAGGTCTTGCTATGTTGCCCAGGTACAGTCTCACTACCAATAGCACAAAAGTTCTCACCTGCTTCACTTCTGACCTGAGGCAGTTCACCCTCCTTAGGCAACCTGGTGGTCCCCTGCTCCCAGGAGGTCACCATAGTGATGGCGAACTTGGTGTGGACACCCAGTCAGCACAATGATCGGCTGTTCTAAAGGTCTCTTCTAACTCCTCAATCCTACACTGCTAACAGTTCCCCCTTCCTCCTGGGCCTCTCTCCTCTTCCTGTGAGCACTCTCTGGTACTTTCCCCAGGGAGAGCCATGAGGCTTAACTGGGCCTGAGGCTGTCGGTTCTGTTGGCTAACAGCTTCCAGGCACTCCTAAAGAGGCAGGAAAGAGACTGAGAAGGAGGTTGGCAGGTCATCCCCCTCAGGGCCTCACCCTCAGAACTCCCTTACCTGGGTCTTCCACAACTCTTGGCAGGCTATCTTGGCCACTGCTTTGCTTTCAGCTTGCTGCTGCAGATGGTCCATGACCTGGGTCTGCAACAGCAACTGGTTGTGCAGCCACTCCTTCTCAGAAGTCAGCTGCTGGTAGGTGGCCACCTGCTACTGATAGGCGGCCACATACTGCTGCAGGTGACCCAGGTACTGGTCTTCTGCCACTGCAGACTCTGAGCCTCTTGGCTCTTCAGCTCCATCTGCAGAAAGACCTGAGGTGTGAGGACAGGTGGTGGGTGGCCCATAAATAGGGTGGCAAGGTCACTGTGGGACTCTGTTGCCTACCCAGGCCCCTAGCCCCTTGCTTCAGGACTAAGAGACTGCCTCCCTTGCCCAGAGCCCCATGCCTCCTTCCCCAGCCACAAATCTCACACCCTTCTTCCCACCATTTAAACTGTAGGCCACAGACTGGTGGAAAAGCAGAGGGAGCCAACCACCAACTGCTAAGTGTGCTACATGCCTAATGCTTTCCACGTATTATCTCATTTAATCCTCAGCACCTCTGCAAAGAAGGTGCAAACATCCTTTTTAAGTTAAAGAAACCGAGACTTAGAGATGCAAAGTAGTTGAATGGTGACCAGTGGAGACGAGGCCGGAATTCTAGTTTGAATCTAAGGAGCCTCTTATAACACCATCTCTTTCCCTATGATTGGGGGGCTCCATGCCTCTAGCTGGAATGATGATGTCCAGACCTGGGAAGAGCTCACTGCTAAAAGTCAGATGGCAGGAAGCAAGAAACAGTCACAGGACTGCCCTGGAGGGTGCTGGGGTCACCTGTCCCCCAGGTTGGAGCTGCCTCTGGCCTCCCACCTCCCCTCCCCAGAGCCCGGTGCCTGCCTCCCAGCCCTTCCTGGATGGGGCAGGGTTACCATCTCCTTCAGCTCATCCAGCTACTTTCCCAGCTCCCTCTTTACGTGCTGCTCCGACTGCAGCGCGCTGGTGATCTCCATGTTCTTGTTAGTCTGTACAGACAGAAGAAATCAGCAGCTACCCACTACAGCTGGAGACCCCAGAACTTGGTGTCTGCCTCCCATGGCACCGGGAAGGGTGAAGGCAGGTTAGAAAAATTATTCCCTCTTCGCCACAGCTATCAGACCAGGGCTCTGGTTCACAGGTGCCTTCAGAAGTACCATCCCACATGAGGGTGCCCCATTTTATGGGTGGGAAAAGAAAGGCTGGGAGGGCTAGGGAGGACGGCAGCCTCCCCAAATGGGGTCACACACCAGCTTTATGAATCCGCTCTGCAGCTCGACCAGCTCCTCTTTGTGCTCATGGTTCTGGGACAGCATGTGACTGATGGTGTTACAGACATCCTGCGTGATCTCCAGGGTTTACCTAGGCGACTCCATCTGCTCCCCACAGAGCTCAGCCGCCCACTCTAATTCTAGCAACCCTCTCCTTCTGTTCCTGGTTCAAGTGACTGAAGCACTCATTTTCTTGCACCTGGGTTTGGAGCTGTCCTGCCAGACTTTCCAGCTCCTTCTGCCTCTGCTTGTAGCTGTTGCACTACCTTAGAGGGCCCTGCTGGGAGTTCCAGGGGCAGGATTCAGCTAAGAAAGGAAGCAGACAATAAAGGCCTCTGGATTCTTTTTTTTTTTTTTTT